ATCAACTCAAGCACTCAATGGAAGTGCTGGGATTTTTAACAATCAAGGGACAACTCTCAAACAATGAGGGGTGAGAATTAGTGGATAAATACCCCAGCATTTCTGTCCCTTGGTGGGACAGTTCTGGGGCACATTCTAGGAAGTTTCTCAGAGGGTTCCAGGCAGGATGAGCTGCATTTACCCATAACAGTAATCTGTTCATTAACATACCCTTTATTGGTTTTCTCCTTTCCTTGATTCATTTTCCCAGCTTTCTGATTTGTGCTTCTTGGGATCATCTTCTAAATAAATGACTTGCACTAAAGTCCTTGTTTCAGGGTCTGGTCCCAGGGGAATCCAAATGAAGACAAATTCCTATAAAAATCAGTATACCTAACACCCATATTGTTATTCCCAGTTATTTTTTTTCACTAGAATGAGTGAAAACAGTTTCTTAAAGAAATAGCTTATGAGAGGTATGGGGCAGTACAAGGTGAGCCTGGGATATCTTGTTGTGCCAGAAAGAAAAGATGTTCTCAAGAACTAATGCAGACAATAAGCATGAGGAGCCACTTTGAAGGAGTTCTCATTGCCTGTATTTGGGATAACTTGAGAATCAAGAGGAATAACAAGGCTGGGCATGGTGGCTCACACTTGTAATCCTAGCACTTTGAGAGACTGAAGCAGGAGGATTGCTTGAGGCCAGGAGTTCAAGACCAGCCTGAGCAAGAGTGAGACCCTGTCTCTACAAAAAATAGAAAAATTAGCAGGGGTGGTGGCACACACCTATAGTCTCAGCTACTTGGGAGGCTGGGGCAGGAGGACTGCTTGAGCCTAAGAGTTTAAGGTTGCAGTGAGCTATGATGATGCCACTGCACTCCAGCCCAGGCAACAGAATGAGATCCTGTCTCAAAAAAAACCCAAAAAAACAAAAAGATCAACTGATCATAAAATATTGAATAAATAAAACTGAACAGTTCTGTAGTGATGCTGAAAGAGAGAGAATACTAGTGTCAAGTAAACTTTATATATGTTATTCTGAAAATTTATAATTAAAGGAAAATGAGCATTTACCCTATCTTTTTAAGAGAAACTGTGGTTAATCCCCAGTGGACGAGGAAATGCTTTTCTTCGCAGGAAAATGCCAGCTAATAAATGTAAAAGGAATAATAGAATTAAGAGATCATCATTTCTGTACTCATAAATACAGTCATGCGTCGCTTAACGATGGGGATAGTTCCAATAAATGCATCGTTAGGCGATTTCGTGTTGTAGGAACATCATAGAGTGTACTCACACAAACCCAGATGGTATAGCTTACTACACACCTAGGCTGTATGGTCATAGTCTATTGCTCCTACAAACCTGCAGGGCATGATACTATGCTGAATACTGTAGGCAACTGTAACACAATGGAAAATATTTGTGTATCTAAACATATCTAAATATAGGAGGTACAGCCGTAAAAATGCAAAAATATGTAAAAATACATATAAGATAAAAATGGTACACCTGTATAGGGCACTCATTACGAATGGCGCTTGCAGAACTGGACGTTGCTCTGGGTGAGTCAGTGAATAGTAAGTGAATGAGAAGGCCTGGGACATCACTATACACTACTGTAGCCTTTACAAACACCATCCACTTAGGCAACACTAAATTTATTTTTTAAAATAGTAATTACATCATGATGTTACAATAGCTACAATGTCACCAGGCAATATGAATCTTTCAGCTCCATTATAATCTTATAGGACCACCATCGTATATGCGGTCCATCGTTGACCAAAAGGTCATTATATGGCACATGATTATAATTGATAAAGGCAAGAAGAATCATCAGAGGCTAAAACCACTGGATGAAAAGCTTTGGGGGAATAGAATATTTGCACTGTGCCAAAGCATCACCCACAGGTTATTTTGTTGCTACTTGCAAAGAGAAAAACGTATCTTTACAATTTGGAGATCTGGGCATCCCTACTGTAATCAAGCAATCAAGTTAACATCACTATTAATGGAACAACATAACTTTCCATGCCTCATGGTGTGATACAGTGTAAAGTACACAGCAAAACCTATGAAACA